CTCAGTTAATTGCAAATTCAGTCTGTCTGATAAGAAGGAATGCTTCCTAGTATATATTTTCCCTCTGAGGGTCTTAACACAAGGTTACAAAACATCTCTTGATAGTACCTGCCAATGAATGTTGCCATTGTCTTGATATATATTATTTGAAAATGTGGTATATGGAAGTAATATTCCAGAGTAACTTGTTATTTGGATGTTTATGCATCACCCCAAATTCATCATATTTTAAATGAAATTTACCAGCTCCCAGGCAAGTTTATGTAGATAGTAAATTGCATACATTATATCATATGCAACGTATATTATATGAATGACTCAAGTCATTCTTCCCTCCTGGCCTACCTTTCCCTGGCAATGACCACTCCTTATAGAATTTGCACTCATCTCTAATTTTATATGATCTTTAAGTAGAAGTATAGGGTGGAGAGAATAGCTTTGGTGTCAGATAAACCTGGGTTCAAATCCTGACTCCAGTCTTTATTAATTATATGCCACTGACCAAGTCATTGTAACCAATTTGAGCTTCAATTTACTCATTGTAACAAAGGGATCATAAAGTCGGCCTTACAGCTGACAGTAATTGTGAGTTATTAAATGAAATAAAGTACACATAACATCAAACATGGAGCCTGATATGTGTTGAGTTCATAGTACTTACATTCTTATTGTTAAAAATACAGATGAAGCAGTCTTGAAAAAATCGCCTGTTGTTTTACCCAGGCCATGGAGTTAGTAAGTCCATTTGAAATTGCACAATAATTTGCCACAAAACAACAGAACCTGTGTCAAAGGAGAGATTCAGTGGAAACAATCAATTAGAAGAAAATATGTTGGTTTCTATCCGCCACGTTAAGGTCAACCAGGCTAAGAGAGGAATTGACATAATCCAGTGCGGAATTCTCACAGTAGGACACGAGATGGCAACCAGCCAGTTGTGAAGGGCCAACTGGTGAGGGGCAGAGGGTTCTAGAAGTGCAGGCTTTGGCTCTCAGGGAAGTGTAGTGTCCACTTCCACAGTATTTCTAACTTCACATTTGACTAAAGGCTAAGTATTAGTAACCTGCTTTGTAAGTTATTAAAGGTTAAATTAATTGATATTTATAGATAAGTGCCTTTACTTATTTGATAATGACTTTAATTCAGTATTCTGCTAAACCACTAAAAAAGACCACGCAAAGTTACCAAACTGTAAACTTCATATTTTGTGCACTCACAGAGTTAACACGCCTACCATTTTCAAGAAAGCGGCTTTGAATTGGGCATAGAACCTCCATTATTTTTTTTGCCACATCCTTATGTAAAGGACATTCCTTTTATATAATGGCAAGTGTTAATAAGTAGTAATTATTAGTGTTATTCGATTCCCCACAACCGTTTACTTACGAAGCCCAAGGTATTCTGCCTCTGAAAAGCTTCCACTCTCCTTTTCTACCACACCACGTCCTCCCAGGATAGGACTATCACAGAGCCAGATAATTTAATACTTTCCAGTCCCCTGGACCTTTCTGCTAAACCAACCTCCAGCTAAATCAAATGCCCTTTTTTTTTCTTAATTTTATTTTGGAGAGAGACAGAGACAGTGCAAAAGCCGGAGAGAGGGGCAGGGGGACAGAGGATCTCACACACCCAGGGCAGAACCAGAGGTGGGGCTAGACCCCATGACTCTGGGATCACGGCGTGAGCCAAAGTCAAGAGTTGGCTGCTCAACCAAAACTGAGCCACCCAGGGGCCCCTAAATCAAAAATGTTTTAAATACCACTTCAGAGTAGCGTCCATTGCCTTCCCCTTCCTTAAAATACCCAAACTCGGGGCACCTGGGTGGCTAGTCAGTCGAGCAACCAACTCTTGATTTTGATTCACATCATGATCCCAGGGTTGTGGGATCAAGCCCTTGCATCAGGCTCTGCACTGAGCATGGAGACTGCTTGAGATTTTCTCTCTCTCTCTCTCCCTCTCTCTCCCCCTGTCCCTCTCTCCTGCTCATGTGCTTTCTCTCTCTCAAATTAAATAAAAAATACCTAAATCAAAATGCATGTATGTGTCTAATTTTTAAAACCACCTTCCATAATCTTCCCTATCTGTCTAGCTGTCCTTGATTCCCACAGTCTTCCAATAAAAATTCTCCATTCCTTACAAATGAGCCCTTCACAGACTCACAGGACTGTTGGAAACTTAAAGTGATGTTTTGGGGCTCCTGGGTGGCTCGGTCGGTTAAGCGTCCAGCTTTGGCTCAGGTCATGGTTTGTGAGTTCAAGTCTGGCATCCAGCTCTGTGCTGACAGCTCGGAGCCTGGAGCTTGCTCTGGATTCTGTGTCTCCCTCCCTCTCTGCCCCTCCCCCACTTGCACTCTATCTTTCTCTCTCTCAAAAATAAATAAAAATATTTAAAAATTCTCTTTAAAGAGTGGTATTCTGAGTAGAATACCGGGGAAGCTTTAATAGTAGGTGGGTGGTGCTTTTTGCTAAACTTTTCCCAAACTTGCCAGTCATCAAGAGGCACACTGACTCCTCAAAAATTCTTTCCAACCCACTCTAACCACATTAATTTCCCCCCCACCAAACCTCTGAGCACTTAGACACTGTGCCACACAATCCAACACTTAATTATGCATTGTCTCACAAAGTTCTTTATCCATTCCATATACACTTCCCATACATTATCCTCTCCTGTCCAACACATAATTTCTCCAAGGGTAGAAACTATGTTTCATTCATCTCTTACATTTTAAAATAGTGATGGGCAGGGGCGTCTGGATGACTCAGTTGGCTGAGCGCCTGACTTCAGCCTAGGTCATGATCTCATTGTTCCCGAGTTCGAGCCCCGTGTGGGGCTCTACGCTGACAGCTCAGAGCCTGGAGCCTGTTTCCAATTCTGTCTCCCTCTTTTTCTCTGCCCCTCCCCCACTCATGTTTTCTCTCTCTCTCTCTCTCTCTCTCCCTCCCTCAAAAATAAATAAAACATTTCAAAAAAATAAAATAGTTATGGATATGTAAAATACGTTGTCGCAGACTGTACAATTATTACTATCAGGCAAATTGCTAGGCATTTTCGCTGAATTACTTAAGTTAATATACACAACAATCCTATCAGGTAGGTATTTATTATTCTCCATTACAAAGATGAGTATTCTGAGATTTGAAAACAAAGTTACATGCCCAAGGTCAGCAAAACCACAGGTTAGTTCCCAGAATGTCTGAACCCTGAGTCTTAACTTTGGCAGATATTTGGCAGATAGAACACAGAATCGATTGCTGATAGGTGTTTAATATGAGCTTGCTCCAATACAACGTCAGTAACTTCCAGACCACTAAATATAGAGTGCAGAGTCTCAAGTCTCCATAAATCCTTGTTGATGGACTGACTCTAGGTAAATCTCATGCAATTAGCCACACACGCTTTCAGTATTGTGTTGGATATTATAGCACACGACCGCAACTTCCAAGACGACTGAGAATTCTTTCAGCTGGTTTTCAAAAACGTAGAATTCTCCTACATATTTTCCATTTGGGGAAATAAACAAAGACGGCCCTAATGAGAACCGAGGCTGTTCATTCAGATCTTGTTACGGCAAGGGCGTCAAACACGATCACTTGCCCTTGGCAGAAGCTCAAGGCAGCCAAAGGAGTGGCAGAGCTTTATGGCAGATGAAAGGGAAGCCTTTAGGAATGCCCTGGTGAGAGGCTGTTGGTCTGGGGTAGCTGGAGGCGGGCTGACTAGAGCAGCATCATGTGATTGGTTTGGGCAGCTTGCCTTTCTCTGGTCGGTTCTTGAGTTGAAATGAGGGTGGGAGTGTCAAAAAAGAGGGACGCTGACAGTCACTGACCAAGTCTTGGCCTTTCTGGACCCGTTGTTACAGAGGCTGGGGGTCAGAGTTCAGTTGTCCTATATGGTCTGGCCATAAAGGTCCATTGGTATATTCATTCTCGCCCACTTCACAGAAAGCCCCCTTTTCTATGAATTTACATTTTGCAGGTATTGTGAATGCTGCTTCTGTCTTCTTGTTGTTGCTTTAAAGAAATCAAACAATTTCTTTTCAGACTTAAGTTTAGTGGGTTAATATTGCTTTTGCAAGAAATGCAATTTTCTATAGAGGCTGCCCATTTCTTTAAAAAAATAAGCTCCTCCTGAAAAAAAAAAAATGGAGCACCTGGGTGGTTGAGTTGGTTAAGCGTCCGACTTCAGCTCAGGTCATGATCTCATGGCTCATGAGTTGGAGCCCCATGTCAGGCTCTGTGCTGACAGCTCAGAGCCTGGAGCCTGCTTTGGATTCTGTGTCTCCCTCTCTCTCTGCCCCTCCCCCACTTGTACTCTGTCTCTTTCTCTCAAAAATAAACATTAAAAACTTTTTTTAAATATGAAGAAGCAATTAAACCAAAAGATGACTACAAATGTCACTTGTCCTACATAAAACTGTGACATTGTAGTGATGCTAAAATATGTTATTTCAGAGGCCACGGATTATAAATAAGGACATTGCCCTGGTTTCCGTGTATACTACAATGAACCTTCTCCTATTACCACACTCAATACTATGTTCAATCTTTAAAGGTTTTGGCATGTGTAAAGTCATTGAGTTTCTTTCTCCATTTTTACTACATTCTGCCTTGCTTATTTCTGGCAAAACCCAAGATACAAAAAGCAAAAACCGTATAAGGTAGTTCAGGGAAGGGACAAGGGAAATCTCAATACCTTTCTCTCAGTTTTGCTGTAAATCTAAAACTGCTCTAAAAATTAAGTCTTCAGTGTGTGTGTGTGTGTGTGTGTGTGTGTGTGTATCTCAACTCTATAACCAACTCAATTAAATTTTTGCCCACCAGTTTCATCCAATCTAGGGATTTAGGCACCTTAATCTCTGAAATACTTAACGTTTGTAGATGCTCATTTTTCCTTAATCTCCAAGCCAACTTCCCCTCCTCGCTGTAAATTCAATGTACCACAGTTGTCTTTATGGTGATTACATCAAGCTGGGAATCATAACTAGTTTTATTCGAAGCTTTGGTCCTGGGTCCAAGAGAAGACAATAGGCCATTATTTAGAAGTGTCGTTATCTCTTACCTGGAAATAAGGGAAAAGTCAGCTTAATTAATCTTAGCAAAACAATAAACGATGTTATCAGGAATAAAACGTAAAATAAGACACTTCTTAAAAATCAGGATTCTTAAACACGAGAATTAGCACACAGTGCTTGGTGCTATAGTGAGTAGGCCAAAGGAAATGGAAGATGACCTGGTTTTTAGGAAACTCTGATCTAGTCAAGCATCAAAACCACAAGCCTAGGTGTGAACAGGAAGAAGGAAAGGCAAAATATTGGAATGTGGCATGAAACGCATGCCGGTTGGGGTTGGAGGGGGAGTACTAATGAGTAGGGGAGTAGGGTATTTAAAACATATTCTACACATCATAGGTGGGGATGGTAAGCCCCGGGACTACTTCTACTTAGCTTGACCTCAACTTCCACGCTGTAATTTCTGCTGCTATCAAACTATGAGCCTCATTCCATCCCTAAATAGGGTAATATAAGAGCAATTTGTTCAGAATTCAGCATTACATCAGCCCAGCCACTAGTTAGATTATTATGCCTAAGGAAATAATTTGCTCTACTCTCTCCCAAATGTGTCTTCAGAACAGTTTTCCCTCCTTCTTTTCTTCTGCTGCCATAAAAAATAAAAATAAGAAATTCCTATCCAGGTGGTGTCAGAAAGGCAAGAGTAAACGAAACAACATGCGCTCACACTCACCGGCATACACATCTTAACTCCCACAAAAGGGTTCGCTTTTTCATCCAGTTGAATGAGGAAGTGGTCCGGTCCAGGTATAATTTGAAATTCTTAATCAGTCTGCACAGTCTGCTTCTTCTGGTTATTACTATCCTCTGGAGTCTTATGCATTGAACGTCAGCCCTGGCAGGAGAAAGAAAAGCTTTGTTCGTGACCCTAGGCTACTCTTTCTAGGGAAGGAGAAAAGCTTTCTCATTGCAGTCCCGCTGACGTCCTGTCTTTATCTGCCTGTCTTCCTCACATTAGACTGAGTTTCTTCAGGGTGGGGGCTGGCTTCCCCACAGGGAAATCAAAGAGTAACTCCATCAGGGGGCCAAGACTCCCACCCTGCATATTTGCCCACCTGCGGCCCTTTCTTCTTCTTGGCCAAGTCATCCTTCAGCTTCAAACATGTTGAATTTTGGTTTCATGGAAGCCTTGGGAGGGATTACTTCCGGTGTGACAACTGCTCCTTCCGTTTCACCCCTGAAACCAGCAAAGTAGCTCTAACAGCCTCCTGTGCATTTGGTTGTGTTGTTACTGAGCCCAACGCAGTTAGCTTGGGATCTTTAAATAGCACCAGATCTGGGGCGCCTGGGTGGCTTAGTCGGTTAAGCGTCTGACTTTCGCTTAGGTCATGATCTCGCGGTTCGTGGGTTCGAGCCCCGCGTCGGGCTCTGTGCTGACTGCCAGCTCAGAGCCTGGAGCCTGTTTCAGTCTGTGACTTCTTCTCTCTCTGACCCTCCCCTGCTCACGCTGTCTCTCTCTCTCTCTCCTAGAAATAAATAAAACTGTTGCAGGATTCTCACTCAGAGAGTCGTGACACCGAGACTTTTCTTTCCAGGAAGCAACTGTATTTTGCCGGCACCGCTCAGTTGGGTTCGTACCCAAAAGAACTGAGCGGCCCACATCATATGGCATAGGTTTTTTAATGCATTTTCTATTTCTTTGTCTCCCATATATGGTAACACACATAAACATGCAGTCTGATTAAGTTGTTTCAGTTTATAAGGACATGGGGGATGTAGGCAGCTGGACTCATATCTAGGTGACCTTGAAGTCTTCTCTCCTCTCTTCTTCATTTTTTTCTTTCTCCTTAGGGAGGGGTTCCTACACAAAACATTAAAAAATTTAAAATAAATAAATAAATAAATAAATAAATAAATAGCACCAGGTCTGACATTTCCACTTTACAAGCATCTTGGGGGATTTGAGAAGCACCCTTGACAGCTGCGTTTGAGCTGGGTTTTGATGAACTAGACTTGAATGAGCCTCCTGTAGGGCAAGGCGTGTGGGCACATCTGTTTAAGGCTGATTATGAATTCCTGATAATGAACGACTAGACTGAAGTCATGCCCTGATAACAAAACTGTTTGGAACAGTAAATAGCACTTTTTAAAAAATATTAGAGATAAATGTTATCTCCTTGAATGCCTTCTCTGGTAGTTCAGAGCCGGTTTACATTTTTCCAATTAAAGTGATTCATTTTTGGTTGCATTAGTGGCCAGAAAAGAAGGAACACTTTGGAAAGAAGAGCACGTCACTAGGGGAAAGGTATTTTAAATATAAACAAATGATTTTAGAGGCAATAGTAGATATTTAATCAGTTTCTCTTTAACTTCAATACCAACGTACTGATGAGCATGAAATGCAGTTAAAGAATAGAGGGAAGAAAGGAGGGTTGGAAGGAATGGAGGAATGGAGGAAGGGAGGAAAGGAAGAAGGTAGGAACTTTAGATTCTTTTCAGGTTTGTCTTCCTGTTTTGATCTTCCTAACACTATAGCTATGCTATTGACAGTACAGAACCAAAACCTATATGAATTAACACATGCTCATTATGCCCACAGCAACCCAGGTTAGGAGAGAAAGACTAATAAAAATTAATTCTGTCACAGAAATGGAATGAGAATTAGAAAGCCAAGTTCCTTCGGTGATAAATTATGTTTTAATCAGTCTTAGAGACTAAAAGGGAAAAATCCAAAATCAACAGAACCAGTCATCGATGGAAATGTCTTTTAACAATGCAATAATGAATTTAAGCTTCCTGCACACAATTTTACTGGTAGCTGTTTTTTTCTCCAACATTTCCAAAATCTGTGGCTTTGAGCCTGGCTCCACACTGTCAGTCCACTTTAGCACATTTGGATGAAGGGAAAATAGAAAACATTCCTCTCTAAACTGCCTCACAGTGATATTTAACAGTGTCTGAATGTGCACTTAGTATCTTGGTGTTCACACTTGATTTAGAAAACGCTTTGAAGCTTTGAATTAGAGTCATCAATATAATAATTGGACAGCATTAATTCCACTTGGTAATAAAAAGTCCTTCTTTTTTGGAATCTCTTAGCATTTTAAAGAAACAAGGGCTTTCAAATCCCTCCAACACACAAATTCCAGCAAAAGGGTACTTGTGTTCTCATATAGACTCCGAAAGCATGTTTTTGTTTAAAAATATTAATATCCACTAGCCTCTTACAAGTGTCACCATTAAAATTTCATTTATCTGTATCATTAATCTCATGTGAATACAGAAGATGAAGGAACTGAAGTATAATTCACTTTGAGACATTCTGTGTTAATGGCATTTCAGCTAAGTCCAGTGAGATATGATTTGAGTTATTGAAAGAGGGCACAGAGTGTGAGGAATAAATTAGTCATTAAGACATTGAAGATGCCAGGGTGAGGGAAAACACTCCAGTCAAAAAACCCCAATAAGTTAGGAATTACATGATGACACCCAGTCTGTGGCACAATGTTGGGAAGAATGAGTGGCTGCCAATAGTGACCCGTCCCCCTCCCGCACCCCCGGGTCCATTATGCTGAGCTGGGAGATGTGGGAGAGGAAATAATACACTCAAGGCATTAATAACAATATTCCCACACAGAGTTCCAGATGGCTTCTACAGTATAGACGACACCAAAATTTTCTGTTGGCTTCTTAAGCGATGCGTTGTGAACATTTTATTCACAATTGAGTTAATTTCATAACTCAAAAAGTCAATCTGACTGTTGAAACAGGTTCAAGCAAATTCCCTGGAATAATAACATTAGCCTGGTGTAAAAACTAGTGGACATGTTCAGTGATTTCTGAAAGCGCTAATATCGTCAATGAATAACAATAACACCATCAGAGTCAAAATTAGGACTGGTGGCTCTCTGCAAGGTTATTGAGAAAGCATGCTTTGCTGTTAACTGCTTGCTCAAAGTCAACGAAATTGGAATTGGTGGGCTCTCTGCCAGATTCTAGAAGGCCAAGAGGTCTGTCTGTGTTATGCTGATGGACAGCCCTTCTCACCCAACCTTCCCATTTCTCTTAGGGAATCCTGCCTGTGTGAAAGTCCAGTTAAGGTGCCACTTCCTCCAGGAAGACGTCCCTGAGCTTTCCCACTCTGAAAGATTCTTTTTCCTATACATGGCAGCACACATCACAACAGCCTTGTCCATAGGGAATGAAGACTGACTCTTTACATTTGAGTTCCCACACTTTTAAGAAGTTAAAAATAATAGTAGCTAGAGGCGCCTGGGTGGCTCAGTCAGTTAAGCATCTGACTTCAGCAGAGGTCATGATCTCGCGGTTTGTGGGTTCGAGCCCTACGTCGGGCTCTGCGCTGACAGCTCAGAGCCTAGAACCTGCTTCAGGTTCTGTATCTCCCCCTTCCATGCTCAGGCTCTGTCTCTCATTAATAAATAAACATTTAAAAATTAAAAACAAACAAAAAAAAGAATGGTAGCTAGCTGGTCCACCATGCTTACTATGTGCGGGGCACTATTCTGGGCACGATGTGTCTGTTGACTCACATCTTTCTAGTAACATCCTTCAGGCTAAGTGGTGCTTTGATCCCCATTTTTCAAGCGAGTAAAACTAAACCACAGGAATTAGGTGAGTTGCCCCCGGTCACGAACTGGCACTTGCTACAATACCTCCTGTTTGTCACACACTGGACAACTGAATACCCTGAACATGCCCAGAATGTTTTATGTTTGACCAACCAATCAGAAGTAGCCACAAAGACTTTACTGCACTCTGTGCATCCTTGACAACTTATTCTCATAGGATGTGTGTGTGTGTGTGTGTGTGCGCGCGCGCGTGTGTGTACAGGAAATCTAAACCTACATAGCCTCATAAATTGCAAAATTGCTTCCAAAATCTTGAGACTTAGCACCAAACTAATTAGGTTCTGATTCCAGAGTCTCCTGCGACCTGGAATAGAGCGTGGGGCGACCAGAGTTGTACCTAGCAAGTGCTGACTGCCCCAAAGTACTGGTTGACTCCAGTCCTAACAGAAAAGCTGCCACACAGTGTGGCTAGGTACACGTGCCCTCAGGGGGAAAAAAGAAACAATCTTAGTTCCGTATCTTTTTCCACATTTTTTTCCCTTTTCGGATATTGGTTCTTTCTATCGACATAGTAGCAATCTGTTATTTTTTGTACATTCAGGACTAGTTTTCTGTAGCTGTAGGAACAAAGCGCTACCAGCTTAGAAACAAATGTATTCTCTCCCCAGTGTGTAGATCAGACATCCATGTGGGCTCCGCTGGTTTCTCTGCTTCATGTTTCACAAAGATGAAACTATGCTTACGTTTCGGAGGTTCTAGGAATGAATGGGCTTCCGGGCTCATTCAAGCCCTGGCTCTCCAGGCTTCTGGAGACCTCCACACACTCCCTTAGTTCATGGCGCCTTCCTCCTTCTGAAAGCAGCAAAAGCAATGGCAGAAGCAGGGATGCATCTCTCTCCTGGAGGGGTCTCTGGCCTTTTCTGGTCCTCATCACCCATCACCCTCTCCCGCCTTCCTTTTTGTCATTTAAGGTCTCATGGGATTATACTGAGCCAGTTCTGATAATCCAGGATAATCTCCCTTTTTAAAGTTGGCTGATTAGTAACTTAATTCCATCTCAAAACTCCCTTCACAGCAGTATCTAGATTAGCCTTGGATAGAATAACCAGAGGACGGGAACTGCAAGGGTGCGGCGGGGGGGGGGGGGGGGGGGGGCAGATCTTTAGAACCCTTCCAACCAGACATGCTGACTCTCAAAATGTAAACATGAAAATGTTTTCTTAGCCAGAAGTTAAGAACTTTAGTGCTTTTTAATTTTGTTACTCCCCATTCTGTATTTTCCAATTTAATAGCTCTTCTACCTATTAAAAACACATACAATGGAACTAGAATTCAGGTAGGTATAATGCTAACAAAAAGACTTTTACAAATGAGTGTATCACTTACATAACATCCCTTTATGATTTGTAAGTATACAAGTGAATGATATGAAATACATGAACACATTAACTGCTGGGTTTTTTTTTTAACTCAGTAAAACTGTCTATAAAATAATTTCAACACCATAATTAAATTTTGCTTCAGATTTTAGATGCAGCATCATGATGCAAGCTTCTACAAATAGTAAGATGGGCAGGATGAAAATATATTTCCC